TAATGTAATTATTCCATGAGAAGCTTCCCGTCACTCCTTAGTCTCTTCCAATTAAAAAAGTTATTTTGAAAATAAAAAATACCACATAAAAAATACCACATAGAAACACATAAATCTATCTTAAGAAAAAGAACAAACAAAAGCCAAAACAAATCAAACACATACAAATCTAAAAAACGCAACAGGATAGATAGAACATAAGCAACATGAAAAAGTGTGAAAGATGCAAGGCAACAAACTTCCCTTAATTTTCGGCACGCTAATGTTAATCACTAAGCATCCCAATGGATATCGTGCCAGCACCTTCAATAGAAAACATAGAAACCCGAAAAATGAAAACCCTAGCCAAAGGAATCGAAAGGCAAGATAAAAATTGAATAGATTTGCATAAGTAATAAAAATTGTAGATTTACTTTGGAAGCTCTAAACATCTGCAGGATGGAAAATTGAAGATATTTGCACAGTGAAAGTATTTGTAGATTCAGATCGAAATTGAAAGGTAAGAAAAAATGGAGGAGAACTGTGTATGGAAGAAATGAACGCGCGCAGGCCGTACGGTTTGAGGACTATCAGGCCAAAAACGGCACCGTTTTATTTTATCCCAAACGATGCCGTTTTTATTTGGGCGACGTGGCCTAATACTAAGAGATGGGACACGTGTCAAAAGCAGAGGCTAGCACCTCCTTTTTATAGATAAGAGAAAGAGAGATACCTATATAAAATTGTTGGAAAAATACTTTTATAGTAAGTTTGACTAAAAAAATAAATAGTTTGACTTAATATTTGTGAAAATTCTGTAAAAAAATACTTGTGAATCCAAATTTAGTTGAGATATCTCAACAAATTTGGAGATTCTTGTGGTCTTGAGATTCTTATGTCAAAATTTAATTCATTTTTTAAATATAAATCTAATATTAATCCAATTTTTGTTGGTAACAAATTTAGAGATTGTTATGCCAAAAAAAGTAAGATTTTGAATGGAGATATTCTAACAATTTCGGATTTTGTTTAATTAAAGTTGTAAATCAAACAAAATTGTTCCGAGAATAATGAATATTATATTAAATATTGATAAACTCAGATCCTCCATAAATTATTTATATTTTAGGAATATTGTGTGTAAATAGATTGGTTTTATTTTCGTTAATAATATTAACTGACATTATTTTATGACTAAATTTCTGACTTCTTTTCTATTTTTTCCGTGGTTTATATTTTTTGTTTGAAATAATATATGGCTTATATATTACTACAAAATAGCAAGAATGATTTACTTTAAGTAGAAAGTAAAATTTCGCCTAAAACTTTAAATTTTACTACAAATGGTAACTTTTTTAAATTTTTTTGAAGAACTGGAGGTTGAGTAGTAATTTAAATTTCATATTCATTTAGACTTTTAAAAGAAAGTATTAGAAGCATATTTTTTTTAGATAAATTTTATTTTATCTTAACTTACATATAATCGCATCCCTGACAAACATTAAATTTATTTATATATTTTTAAATTAATTACATCAATAAATAATATTAATATACATTAAATAGTAATTATTATATAAAAAAATTACTTTTATAAATGTTATAAATAATAATGACATTATACGACAATAAAGATATATGTCAAATATAATTTATACTAGTATTCGACCCTGTGCATTTGCACAGATGTAAATAAAGTATTGTGAGTTATTTGTATGTATATAATGATTAATTATTTTTCTTTCACTTTTTTGCATGCCAAATTTACAAATAAAGAAGTTGGAATATTTACTTTTAAAAAAAAAAAAATTGCCTTTATCTGATTGGATGTAATGTATATTTTGGTACGTCTTTTTTTTTGAATTATTTATCATTTATTTAAGAATTTCAAATACGTTTTTTATTTTTTTTTAAAAAAAATAATTTAAATGTAACCACAGTAATAACATATAATCACATTGTCCAATCAACACATTATATGGTCAGTTGTCACTAATAAAAAGCTTAAAATGATTTTTGTAATTTTGAAGTGATTAGTATTGATTATTTAATAATTAAATGAAAGATTAAATACATAAAAAAATAACGGTTTTTGGAGGGAAAAATATTAAATTGCCACATAGGTAAAATTAATTAGGTTTTATTAAATGCTATTGGCTAGTAATTATATATATATAGATTAATATAAACATGTCAACGGGCTAATATATTGTTAAAATAAAGTTTTGAAAAAAATGTTCTAAGATACGAAATACTCGTGCATCGCACATGATTCTCACTAGTATTTGAGAAAAAATGACAACAACCTTGGTAAATTTACAAACGCGATTTTGCCTTATTAATAAAGCCGATATATCTATTGCTATAAATGTACATACTTTCATTAATATCATATTCTAAAAAACAATATAAATAAAAATACGACGTTCAATAGTACAAGTATTTATATTTGTTTGGATAGTATGACGAGTCGATCCGCAATATTTTTCCTACAAAACTAGTGTGGTACTCGTGCGATGCACGAGCTAGTTTTATTAATGTAAGCATTTAGATTTGGATGATTGGATGAACGTAAAAACGCATGTATTGGAATAAAACTAAATATAACTTATATGTTATTAAACACATCCTTGTTAACATTATTTGTTTAGTCTTTTGGTACATCGTTTATCGGGACAGATTATATTAGAATTCTAGATAGGCATAAGTAAATCAATTAAATTATTTAGCAGGATATATATGATATGACTTATACTGCTTTGATGAAGATTGCATAGCCAAATATAACGGAGTTGTAAAATGTCTTTCTTGATATCCTATAGCCTTATTATTTTGAAATTGTAAATTGCTTAATTTAAGAAAGAAAAAAATTGTGTAAGGATAACAAGAAATAGTAAAATCATAAGAGGTCCTACCAAGTAGTGGCAAAAGACAGAGACTGGAATTGGAAATATATCAAGGCTAAAGAGGGTGAGATCACAGAAGTTTCTGAGGAAGAGTCCTTTAAGGCAGAGGTTCACAAGAAAGAAGAAGATGAAGTCCAATGATAATGAGGTGGGGTGGCCAGCCTGGAATGGCACCCAAGTGACAAATGAAGGTCAGGGTGTGGAATTGTAGAGGGCTGGGTGGTCCCTCTACAGTTTCCCAAATCAGAGAGTCTATTAGGACTCACCACCCAAGTTTATTTTTTGTTTCTGAAACAAAAAACAACAAACATTTTGTTAAGGCAATTGCTAAAAAGTTGGGGTTCCAAGATCACTGCTTTGTTGTTGATCCTATAGGGTTGAGGGGAGGCTTGTTGTTGATGTGGGAGAGGGGGCTGGAGGTGATCAATGTGGTGAGTAAGGACTTTTGTATTCAGGTGGAGTTTATTGACAAGGAGGGGAAGAGATGTTAGGGAGTGTTTGTGTATCTGAGTGTGAACAGGGAGAGTAGGGAGAACTAATGGAGGGTGTTACAGATGGACAAACTTAATTGGGGAGAGTAGGTGGTTTATAGCAGGAGATTGGAATGCTATTTGTAAACCAGAGTAGAAGAGAGGGGGCATTGAAAGGAGTATGGGTAGGTGTGGAGAGTTCAATTAGTTTATAGCAGATATGGGAATGGAGGAGGTGAGGATGGATGGTAACCCGTTCACATGGGCAAACAATAGGAGAGCTGAGGAGTGGGTGGATGCTAAGTTGGATAGGGCTTTTGGGTCCTTTGACTGGCTTATATCATACTCATTGTTCTCACGGTTCTCACCCCAGGACTGGTTTCTATTTGAATCAGCCCCTATATATAAAAAAAAAAATTAATATTCAGTTAATTTAATATTTTTCTCCTCAATATAATCAAGATAGCTAAATAATAAAACATATTACTGCATGTTTTCAATAAAAAATACTACTTCCTATTTTTAATATATGTCGCTTTGAAAAGTTGCACATTAATTAAAAATATTTTTTGTCAATAATAACCTTATTCAATGAAGATAGAGAAGAACGTTTTGAAAAAAAAAATGAAGAGTGAATGTGAAAATACGTAATGTATTTATTAGCTAAATGAGGATAATAATGAAAAATTATGTACAAAAGATCCAAAACAACATTTATTTGCTTATTAGTTGATAAAGCCAAAATGGCATATCAAAAAAAAAATAGGAGGGAGTACTATTTATCTACTCATATATTTTTAACTATCTATAACTCATATTCAATATTTTACTATTTTTTTATACTATTAAATTTAATCATTACACTTTATCTCATATTTATTAAGTGTTTCAAAATTACTTCGTTGTTCTAATCATCGAACAATATTTTCAAAATAATCTATATTCAGACTAATCTTTTCAAACAATGTTTTAATTATTACACGGTGAAGCAAGTAATAAACTTGGTGATTAGTCAAACTTGAATCGAATTCGAATTCAAAATGCTCAACTCGAGCTCAATTGCAAAATTGAGCTAAGAGGCTCGAGCAGCTGGCGAGCCTCATGAGCCACTAGATCCATTATCCCTCTACACTGCAAGGAATATCATCTCTCTTAAATGAGCGAAGTTTCAAACAAAACGTCCCACGTTACAGATTCAGTGCCGACGAACTATATCTTACACAATCATAATTCCATCGAAACCCATGAATATGGACACCCCATAAGAAGCTAATTTTGGACAGTATGAACAAATACGGGTACAGATAATCTGTTGATATCAATAAGATTTGAACATGAACTGACGGCAACACTACACACCAATAATACCACACGAAAAAAGAGAGACAATCGAATGGGCAGCTCCTAACCTTCAGTATCCTATTACATCAAAGATTTTGTCATGTACTGTTTGGCTGAAGAAGCAACATGACACACTTTAAAGAGCTCAAGGCATGTGAAAACAACTCATTAAATAAATAAATAATTAAATAAATATAAAAATGATATATTAAAATAGTAATAATGGTAATAAAATCAAATAAATGATATACTTCTATATCCTTGCATCATCTTTCCGTGTTCTCAAAATCTTGGTGGAATTCGATCAGGCAGCAAGTACTATAATCACTATGAGAAGAACGATGCCGAATATCACTAGCAGTAGGCAAGTCTGCAGAAAGAAAGTAAATTATGAGAAGAAATATGCTATTTGTACAACTTTTTTGTACAAAAAAGTTTGACAACATGATGTGGGAAGATGTGAGTGGTTGAGATGTAAATAAATATATGGTTGAGATTTGAGTGGATGATATTTTTAACTAAGTTGTCAATCAATATTGTCAACCAATGTTGTACATGTAGCATTGTCCGAATGAGAAATACAAACAAGTGACCTCATATTCCTCAATCTACGGAAAATGAAAGTTAAATTACAGGTCACAAATAGCATGCTAAATAGATGTTAATAAAAGAGAGAAAAGGCAAACAAGTAATCTGGGACCATTTCTGTACTTCTTTGATATCGAAAAATAAAACTATACGAAAACAATGCAACAAATTGAACCGCCAGCCAAGAATTGGTCAAAATGTAAGAGAAGGCACAAGTGAGGTATGTCTTGAGCAAATGTGCAAGTTCCAGTGCACACCCACGATCTTATTGTTTCTCATGTACAATTAAAAAAAACATGAAATGCAACTAGCCAAAAGATGAAAACCAATTAATTGAGAAAAAATAATTATTAAAGAAAACATGTGGAGTAGGAATAGGAGGCTAGTAGCATACTAAAATGCTAAGACACTGCAGTAATCAATCAGCATTAATAGCTAAAGTTAACATGAGCGTCGTAACATTGTAGGCTAAAGTTCCATGGAAATATGCTTAATAGTTGCATATAATCTATGTTCGGTTTTGTTGGGCATGGATTGAGCATCATCCCTATAACTCACCAGAGATGAATTCGACCGCTGGGTTTTAGCTGCTTTGACCAACTGGGATTTTCCCTGAGCAGTTGCAGCATGAGCACCCTCAATGTTGGAGCCAATGTCATCTAAGAAGAGAAATCCAATCACTGTGTTAATTTCTTTAAACAGTATAATTAACTCTACTGCATTGCAAATCATTTACCTATCATAGTTCCTTGCTCGTGAACTAGTACAGCAAGATCCTTGAAAATCTCATTCACTTCACCAATTTGTTGTTGTATCTCTTGTATACCCTGCTCTCTTTCATCTATAATGGCCTCATTGAAGGCAATCTCATTGTCCAACAGCAAAACCTCCTGTCTGCAAAATAAACAATTGGAAACAAGCAAAGAAAAACTAATGAAATTTCAACCCAACAAATGAGCATATCCTTAGTGCTTAAATCCACTAGATCATACAAGGTGTTGTATATTATAACAAAAGAGACACATATGGGGAAGGTAAAGGTAATTATTATTATTGTTGTTATTTGTTGTTATTGACATGAAAGTATAATTGTTGTTGTTGTTGTCGTCGTTGTTGCTGCTATTTTGCCGTTGTTGACATGAAGGTACCATAGTTTAAATCATTATCATTCAAAATTGGAGGTATTATTATAAAAAGTCCACAACTTGAGGTCTCACTTATGATGGCCTTCTTAACATGCAATAACATTCACAAATAGGACAATGACATAAAAAAGTGATACATGTACTGATTACCATCACATACAAACTATACAGCAATAATAGTTAAGAATATAGAAAATCATACACCAAACGTCAGAACAATAACTTCTTTGAAACGCATGTGCAAAGTGCAAAGATCAATGTCAAAAGTCCCATGTTCGCATACCTTCTAGATTCAACAAGGAGAGCACGCTGTTCTGGAGTCTTATCTAAACTCACATCAATTTCAGAAGCAGTGTAGCTGCAGGAGAAAATAATTTCAATTAAGCTGCAGCCTAAAAAACAATCTAAGAAATTTTTCACCTAATTTACTAACCATTTTACCATAAACCATCCGCAACTTTCTCACTACAAAAAAATCAAAAAATAATCCAACCACAACTCAAAAGTAGAGAATCTTAGTCAATGGTTACCTAGAGGGAAGTACTGCCTGAGGGACAAAAGGAGTATATGATGTCTCCCTCTCAGCCGCTAGCCGCTGTGCCTTCTGGAACTCCTTTAGAACAGCTTGAAAATCTTTTGCAAGTTTAGCATCTGTTATTTTCTTGTTTGTCTGCAGGAAATGTTAATGGCACTCATGGTCACACAGCACAAGTCTGAAGGCTTGGTGATGAGAATAAGATGACTCCCTAAACAATAAATTTATATGCTTCTACAATATAAACAACTGAGACAGAAACACCTCACTTGTTTTGTTTTAAACGAAACTATAACATTATGGAAGATAAACAAACCAACGGAAGAGGGACTGAACAGAAAAGCTCCACGTAGTCAACTAAACCATCAATAAAACTTACACTGACTTCAGCACGATGGTCTGTTTCACTGGCTAGCTTAAGTTTAGCTGAGGTATCCTTCACCAACTGTCCAATATGTAGCCGAGTTTTATGCCTGTAGTTAGGAAAACCAGCATAAGAATCACCAAAATGTTTTCCTTCACATTAGCACTGACAACTAGAAGATCAGCGAAAGCCTCAATAAGTTTTGCGAATTGGTACTAGTATATTCTACCAAATAGAACTATACATTAAGTTAAATACCATTTCTGAATTTGACACAGCAATACCATTAAACGATTGATCGTTTCTGTAAGGTGTCATAGCTGAACAAAGGGAGACTTGATCCTCACTCAAGTATACAACAGGTGAGGTGAAGGAACCAGGAAGCTAGACTTTGTGAATGACAGAAATTGACTAAACTTGATCAAGATACAGGGCTCGGTGAGGAAGATCAATTATGCTATCATCTTCCGTCAACAGAAACACATGGTGAAAATAACGAACTAAAGAATGTTTGCCTTGAAACAGCTCCATACTGATAATGAGTAATTTCAGATAAACCATCAAGCTTATCGACAGCACAAATGTAATGACAATTGGTCAGCACTCTATATCTAACTATTGACCAATCGCAATCGACTTGCAGAAGCATCCTACTGAAAACTCACATGTCCCCCCTCTTTGGTACACACTGAAAACCAAAAGGGACCTAAAAATCACACATCAGTAAACACAGATTCCGCATACTGAAGAATAATCGATGCAAAGTGATACACCAACAAACATCAACAGAAGTCAACTTCAATGATTTGATACAACAAAATAAAATTAGCCAAAGGACGGATCATAATATAAAACTAACAGCTTTTCCCGGAGCTCAGGCGTATCCTTGGGAGTGCCGATGGCATTAACGAGGCGCTGGAAGGTGGAAACCGCCGTGTTGATCTGAAATATACCGGAGGCCACCGCCTGGGTCGGGTCCTGCTTCCCATTTACAAACCCTCTCCGGGTCCCCGCTCCCCTGCCCGCTTCAAGATCTTGAAAGCTCATTGAATTCTCTGAGTTTTATCCTTCGTCAAACCCTAAAATCAAACGCCTCGAAACCGTGTGTTGGCCCTCTAACCGCCACCGGTAGTGGAGAATCCAAGAGGGAGGTGATATTCGGCTGCGACGGCGGATTGGGGTACAATTGTGGGCGGAGAACGCGGGAAACGGAGCAAATGGGGAGGAAGATGAAGGACCGGAATTTGGGATAAATAATTGGAGGAGAGAAAAGCGAATAAATAAATTAGAATTATAATTCAATTTGAAAAATAAAATAAAATAATAATAAAAAATAATAATAATAATATAAAATAATAAATATTAATAATAAATAATAATTTGAAATCTTTTTCTTTTTTTCCACTTGTGCTGAGCCTAAGTGTCAAGATAGCATGCTTCGAGATCCTAGGTGTCAAAATTTCATGCTTTATTGTTTGGATTTGATAGATTTTAATTTAATTTTAATCCAAAAAACATTAGGTTCAAATTACTGTTGATATATTTATGATTATTTTAGATGAAATAATTGTTTTTTAATATCATTTTCTATTATAATTATTGAATTCTAAATGTATTTTAAAAGTTGATAACTTTTGTATTTCTTATCGGTTTCACATATATAATATATCAAATTAATCATATTTTGATGAATTTCGATTTGACATCCATATTGTACATATATAAAATAAATAAAATATTTTTATCTTTATAATAATAAAAAAATTATTAAAAATTAGAACATAAATTCTTTCTCAATTAATATATTTATATTTAATGAAGTTATATATTATAGGTCAGAAAAATTATTATAATATAACACAGTTAAATCGCACAAGTAACAAATATCTTACTAAAAAATATAATAATATATATTTTTTATAAAAAATATTCAAAATTTTCAACTACTTTTTTTTATTAATTTTAAATTTTACGAAAAAAATTTTGCAAGCACCCGTGTAATACACAAGCGTTTTACTATTAATAATAATAATAATGTTAATAACTTACTAATAATAACACACGTGATGGAATGTGCCCAGTTGCCCACTAGTGGCTGGCATGCAACTTCCCTTTTTGTGTGAGAAGTCAAATAACAACTTCGTATACAGCGTGTTATCACTGTTATGCAATATGTATTAGGTAATTATATTATTAATTCACAATTTGTGTGTAATTGCAAATAAAATAAATATTTTTATCTTTACAAATAAATTTCAAACTTTTATTATGTGTTTTAAATTTGTCTCAAAACTATTTTCCGGTCAATCATTGTTGACGTAGTCGATCAAAAATCTTACGTGACACTTACTAGACTTGTGTGACATCAATCTTTGAAACCCCTCACCATGTTTTTGTCACTTCATATGCCAACAAATTAACAAAAATTAGAGTTTAATACAATTTGAAAAATAAGATTTTATCACCATTTTTTTACTCCATAATCTTCATAAAAATCGAGTTCTCCCCCAATTGAAAAAAAATATTTGCAGCGATTCTTTTTTTTCTCCATGGCGATTCGTCACCCCCGAAAATCGGGTTCACCCAACATTCCAAATACATTTATGAGCTCAACCCCAAATACAGAAAAATTAGGCAGAGGGAGAGATTTTCGAGTGATTTTTAGGCGATTTTAGTGTTCTGATCGGACATGTCAGCAAAATTGGTAGGAAAATTAATTTTGAGACAAATTTGCAACACATAATAAATGTTTGGTATGTAAAGATTAAAAAAGAAATAAGTTTTATGTGCAGTTATACAAAATGAAAGAATTTCATGTGCAATTAAGTCTTATTAATAATAATAATTAGGGCGAAAAGATAATTTGTGATTATTTTGTTCAGCACATTTAAGCAAAGACATACATGTGTCAATGCGTGGCTAGTGGCTGATTATATAGCATATACTATAATTATTGGTAAATTATTTGATAAACTTAATAAAATCTCTATATTTTTTCTGTCAAAAACTAGTACGAATCCCGTGCAATGCACGAGTAAGAGATATTATTTGATATTTATAAATAAAAATGCCTATTAATATTTATAAATAAAAAATATGAATTTAATAAAATTACATAAATTAGGTCAATTTAAAATTAGTACACAACTCGTATGTTGCATGTACGTAACTGATAATAGATTACATTATATTCATTCAAAATAAGTGTTGTTTTAAAATTTTATCCAGAAATTCGATTTGACTACAATGTGATTACATAAATTTTTGGTAAAATGTTATCGTATATTTATAAATTTATGTGAATAATAAGTATATTTATAAAACTTATAATTGTTTCATTAAGTAAAATAAATTTATTTTTGTATAAACTATCCAGATAAAAAAATTTAAGTTGTGGAGTAATTTATTAAGTAATAAATAATTGAATGTTTTTGTATTTTATTTACGTCCAAGTTAATATTGACCCGTAAGTTATGAATAATTACTCATTAGACTTTTAAATTTGAAAAAAAAATTTAGACTGCACAATAAATTCTCATATATATATATATATATATATATATATATATAAATTTTCTAGATTTTTTTCCAGTTACCTTACTGTTCAAATTTATTAATTGATTCTCTATAATTAAATTACAAATTTTAAATTTATTATCTAATATTTATTCAAAATCTTTCTAATTTCCAAGAGGAATACATATCAATTTGTCGAATTATCATCAATATCTTATGGCAGGCTATGAAAATATGCTAAAATTTGAGAATCATATCATCTTGATTTTATACCAAATGAGCCTAAAGTTCGATTTTCATATTATACCAAATAAAATTAATTCTATTTATTTTGTTTTCAAAACAACCTACTTGTACACATTTTCTATATCAGATTGGTACGGATTGATCAAGTTAAAAAACCATCACCATTATCTGTAAAAGAAATGATACCTTCACGAAATAAAATTGACGTGCAACATCACCTATGAAACAACGCGCGTGCTCATGCCTCGGCAAAGATCTACAACGACAATTTGTGATCTAAAAAAGAAAAACAATGATTGGTACAATCCAATTACAAAATCATAGCACCACAAACATAATTACAAAAATCCAATTTTCATATTGTACCAAAAAAATTCATGCTACTTATTTTCTTTTCAAAATTTTAAAATGCACTTGTATCCATATATTGATTAATTTCCTTTCCATATAAAAGACCATCAAATAACAAAAATTAATTTGTTCGCTTTATCATGTATATTGATTGATTTATTTCCATAGAAAAGATCATCAAATAACAAAAGTAAATTCACCAACTTTATACTATAAATTAATTAATTTATTTCCAGATATAGTAAAATGACATTTTTTGAAGGGAAATAGTTACTATTTTAAAAATAATCAAACCTTTGTGTATATATATATATAGTAGTACAACACCCGTATATTACACGGGTGCTTGTTAAAAAATTATTCTTAAATTTTAAAATTAATAAGAAAACTATATTAAATTTAGTTTACTTTTTTACAAAAAAAACTATATATATTACTATATATTTTAGAATGATATGTGTTACTAATGACTTACATGTGTTATATTATATTAGTTTTTATAACTTATATATATCATATAACTACTTGAAATATAAATATATTAGTTGATAAATAATTTTATTTTTCTAATTAATATTAAAAATAATTTTATTATTGTTATAAAGATAAATATAAATTATTTTTTTATACATACAATATGGAGCTCATCAAAAGAAGATTGATTTGATATATTCCATATGTAAAACTGATAAAAAATACAAAAGTTATTAGCTTTTAAAATATATATACAATTCAGTAGTTATAATAAGGAATGATATTAAATGCAATTAATACATGTAACATGACATAAATAATCCACATATTTATGGATCTATGGTAATCTGAACCTAATTATTTTTTTGTTTGGAATTAAATTAAAATTTACACAAACTTAATAACGAAGCATGTACTTTTGCCACATATGATTTCGAAGTAACAGAAGCAGCCACGTAGGCTCAATGCATTCTGGATTAATATATAGGGGGAAGGGGACAGGGGATAGATTAGTACATGTCGGTTTTTATTTTATTCTTTTATTATTAAATTTGTTGACTTTACTAATTGTACAAATAACTAACCAAAAAACGTTACATTTCAGTTTTTTTTTTTTTTT